GTTGTATAGGCTGAGGATCGCATGGTCTACCAGTCCCTTGGACTAATTGTTTCCATGCATCTTTGGTTTTCTTCATTCTTCTTTGTTCTGGATGAGGAGAGACCAATCATTGCATCTAGATGGCTGGTTGCAAGCTTTTAAGATCCCAGTTGCTACTCGCCAAAGTAGGATGTGGATCAGTGTTTTGTGCAGTGTATTATACTGATTGAGCTTGATGTCCCCTGGGACCGTGGTCCTGAGCCCACAGGTCCAACTACTTGCTCCCTCTGGGTAGCTGGCTATGGCCAAGAAGTCACTACAGTCTTGTCCCTTGTCAGCCCTACTATATACCTGGAAATTCTTACAGAACATACAAATAAACTTGTAGAAACATTATCTGCCAACCCTATACATCATCATGGGCACACTCCTCCCTGCATAGACATACCTAATGGTTCCAAAGGTATAATCTTACAGGGACAGCTTGCCACATCTTTCTTCCACAGAATAGCTGCTGGGTTTAAACTGCTAACCTTTCAGTTACCAGCCAAGTGCTTGACTACTGTATCACCAAACCCATTGGCATCAAGTCAGTTCCAACTCAGTGATGTTATAGGACAGAGTACAACTGCCCAAGTCTGTAAATCTTTTGGGAGGCAACTGCCAACTTCTTTCTGCTGTGGGGTAGCTGGTGAATCTGAACCTCTGACCTTTCAATCAGTAGCCAAGTACTTAACCACTTCACTACCCGGGCTCCTTACTACACCACAACCCAACCAAGCCTGCTGCCATCAAGTAGATACTGACTCATAGTGACTCTACAGGACCAAGTAGAATTGCCCCATAGAGTTTCTAAGGCTCTAAATGTTTATGGAACCAGACTAGCACATCTTTCTCCCATGACACAGTTGATGGCTTCAAACTGCCAACCTTTCAGTTAGCAATTGAGTGCTTTAACCACTGTGCTACCAGGGCTCCTTAAATATGATCCAATTATATGAAAAGAAATGTGAAAATTTAAGTCTTACATATGCATATGAAAATACATTATAAAAAGTATACCCACTGCCATCAAGTTGATTATTCTAACATAGTGACCCCCATTGGATCTCTAAGGTTGTAAATCTTGACAGAAGTAGATTGCGTTCTCTTCTTTCCTTGGAGCATCTGGTGGGTTTGAACTGCCAGCTTTCTGATTAGCAGTCAAATGCCTCAGGCACTGCACCACCAGAGCTCCTTAAAATATATAGAAATATATAATTTATTTCCTGTTACCTCTCGAGAATGAAGAAGATTGATAGGAGAAGGACTCAAGGGGGTTTTGACTTTCTGTTCTGTAATCTTCTGTATTAATGACCAGAAAATGAGCAGAGCAGTGTAGAACAGCTAGGGGAGACAAACTTGTTTGTCAGTTTGTCCTGCTGTGATGGCTTGAGTATTGGTGGGAGGCTGGAGGCTATGCCACTGGTGTTTCATATGCCAGCAGAGTTACCCATGGCGGACAGGTTTCAAGGAGCCTCTAGACTAAGACAGACTTGGAAGAAGGAGGAGTCCATTCACTTCCCAAAGAATTGGCCAGTGAACACATTATGAATAGCAGTGAAACATTGTGCGATATAGTGCTGGAAATGAGCCCCTCCAGTCAGAAGGCACTCAAAATATGACTAGAGAAGAGCTGCCTCCTCAGAGTAGAGCTGACCTTAATGATGCACATAGAGTAAAGCTTTTAGGACCCCCATTTTGCTGATGTAGCACATCTCAAGGTGAGAAGAAACAGCTGCAAACATCCGTTAATAATTGGAACATGGAATGTACGAAGTATGAATCTAGGGAAATTGGAAGTTGTCAGAAATGAAATGGAATGCATAAAGATCGATATCTTAGGCATCAGTGAGCTGAAATGGACCAGTATTGGCCATTTTGAATCAGACAACCATATGATGTACTGTTCCAGGAATGACAAATTGAAGAGGAATGCGTGGCATTCATTGTCACAAAGACTTACAAGATCTGTCCTGAAGTACAGTGCTATCAGTGATAGGATAATATCCATACATCTACAAGGAAGACCAGTTACTACTGCTGTTGTTAAAATTTACACACCAACCACCAAAGCCAAAGATGAAGAAATTGAAGATTTTTACCAACTTTTGCAGTCTGAAGTTGACTGAACATGCAATCAAAATAGCAGCTGTAATAGCATAGTGCTTAAAGCATTTGACTACTGACCAGAAGGATGGTGATTCAAACTCACCAGCTACTCCTCGGAAGGAAGGTTGGGCAATCTACTTCCTTGGAGATACTGCCTTGGAAACCCAAGGAGGGGTTACTATGAGTCGGATCTGACTCAATGGCAGTGAGTTTGGTTTGGTTTGGTTTGCAATCAAAATGTGTTAATTATAACTGTTGATTGGAATGCAAAAGTTGGAAACAACAATCTCTGGTAGTTGGAAAATATGGACTTGGTGATAGAAATGTTGCTGGAGATCGCATGATAGAATTTTGCAAGACCAATGACTTACTCATTGCAAATACCTTTTTTCAACAACACAAGTGGTGGCTATACGTGTGGACTTCACCAGACAGAGTTCACAGGAATCAGATTGACTACATCTGTGGAAAGAGGTGATGTAGAAGCTCACTATCTTGAGCCAAAACAAGGCTAGGAGTTTACTGTGGAACAGACCATCAACTGCTTATATGCAAGTTCAACTTGAAGTTGAAGACAATTAAAACAAGTCCACAAGAGCCAAAATATGACCTTGATTATATCCCTTCTGAATTTTAAGACCATCTAAAGAATAGATTTGATGCATTGAACACCACTGACTGAAAACCAGAAGAATGTGGGATGACATCAAGAACATCATCCATGAAGAAAGTAAAAGGTCGTTAAAAAAACAGGAAAGGAAGAAAAGACCAAAATGGATGTCAGAAGAGACTCTGAAACTTGCCCTTGAATGGAGAGTAGCTAAAGTGGATG